TGCCTCAAACTCGGAAGTGGGAAGTTAATGGATATCTGTTTCTAAAGGAGGTCGGTCTTTGACCCCAGAGATGGGTGAGCTTCTGAAGCTCAACGGAAAAGCACAGGAGGGGACTGTGGAAGTCGGAGAGACAGAGGGAGCGAGGAGCTCCTGGGCCATGCCAAGAGGCAGCAGCGGGGTGCAGGTAGCGAGCACTGTGGTGTGCTGACCTGCTGTCGTGAGTAGGGAGGAGTATGCAAACAGGATCCAGCAAAACAGGAAAAAGGAATGGAGTCAGGCACAAATTCTTGGGATGCCAAAGACTGCCTATTTCTGTGTTCATTTTAAGTATTTAATTTTTCTGACACACACTGGGGATAGGCAGAACACACACAGTCCTATTAAGTGTAATGAATTGCATGTGAGACTTGTTCATCTGACCACCTCCGCAGGCCTCACCGCCACGCTCCAGGGTTTCTAGTACTGGCAGCACACCACCGCAGCTGCTTTCCCACTCTGTTACCCCACACGCCAGGCACAACCAGGCTGCCTAACCCAGGATCCTGTGGCCAGACGTGCTGGGTGCGGGGAGACCCGCAGCCCCGTGCAGTGGCTGGGGAGCCGAGTCTTTTGTACGCCCTTGTATTTGGCGGAACAAGGGTGGGCAGCACGCTTCCAGGTGCACCCGTCCTCGGCCTGATATCCACGTGTGGCTTTGCCCTCGGAGCTAATCCATCCATGCCCTTCTTGGGTAACTCAGCAAGAGAGTTCTCATGTCTGACGATTCCAAAAATTTTAATGTTTTGGTCATTAATGAGGAAGTCTTGGGATATTGAGTTAAATCTCATCAAATTTATTTTTATTTCTTCAGTTAACAAATTACTTCCTTAATTCCGTAGAACGATTGAATTAAGTATATTTTCATTCTATAAGACACCAAAGCAGACACACTGAGTTACAGCTTTTTTTTCCCCCAGTACTTAACAATTGTCTGTCTGTTTCATTCTTACCCATCCAGAGCAAACAGACCACAGAAAAGAAAAAAAAACACTTTGTACATGCCAAATTTCAAATGAAGCCATTTTTGCTCTAGCTTTGTTCAAGAATGTGTGATTAGAACCTTATTCCTCTCCCTAGGAAAATCGGTAAAAATGACATGAATCAAAATGGAAAGGTAAACGTATTAAAGGTGAATGTTTAGAAAGTTTCTGCGTGGGGTATGGGAAGAGCTTTATCATTATTTACAAACTTTACCATAGAAGTTGCTACAGATCATCCAATGACAATCCAGAAACAATTGTTTCTGTACTAAGCAGCATAGAATAAGCATAGCTTTATGCTGTGCCGTGTAGGGGCTTCAGTTTTTTTAGTAACATTTAGCTTGCTAGCACAGTACAAAACGATTACAATCGCAAAACTGAACCAGCTGGTCAAAAAGCAGAGACGGGATTATACTGGTGCTCCTTTTTTTTTTTTCTGTTCCCCTCTTTTCTCTCTGAGAAATTCTTGTACAGTAATTTTTAGCTTCAATGTGGCTGACTATGGTTTTTCAACTTCCAAGAAGTTTGGATGGAAAATACAATCATCTAATTTCCTGTTATCAAAGCATGAGTTGGGTCGATTTTACAGTATTTTCATTGTAAGTGCGATACTGGCTAGATCAGACCCTTAACTAGCATAAATCAGCATAGCTCCACTGAAGTTTATACCTTCTGAAACTCTTTCTCACCTTAAGAATTATGAAGAAAAAAAAACTCTAGAGAAAGAAAACATAAGTTCAAACAGGAAAAGCGGAAATGTAGGCAGTTGTCTAGGAAGGGATATAAAGTGGTTTCATGGGCATCTTATAAAATGAAGAAAAAACCTGAAAAATATCCTGTATCAGTTAAAATTTGTCATCCTACGAATTGATTTCTTTCACTGAGTGCTCCTGGATTCAGACTTAGGATTGCACATTAAGCTTCATCCTTTGTTTTGACATAACTTACGCTGTAATCCATTTTTCCAAAGCGTAGCTTCATGCCCCGTCCGAGTCTCACAACAGATCTTCTGTACTGTGGGAAGATTTTTCCCGTTACCTTTCAGAACTCGCCGTGCCTAAAGCTTCCGTTTAAAACCGATGATGCGACGGCCTTGACGCAGTTTGCGGCCCTGAGCGCGTCTACCTCGTTAATTGCGTTCTGTTCCAGCTAACCGGGCCGTCTCGATCACGGAGGGACGGCGTCGGTGCCGGTCGGTCCTGTCGGTAACTCCAGAG